AACCCAACGAAACATCCATGCTCTCTTATTGCAGCCAGCAGCCAGCCACACAAGAACATAAAACGATAATAAAGGTTAGCTAGAAAGAAAATTCACAAATACTTCGAATATAATTTGCTGAATTAAGTTATTTATGAGTAGCACAAGATGGGCTCGTAATTAAATAAAAGGATTAAGCTTCCAATTTTGATTTCATAGACAACATTACTAGTTAGTCAGAAATGTTATCATTAAGAACTTGATGAGTCTACTAAATGATTTTCTCATACTTGGATTATATCTAGGAGTAGGAGTGATCATTTTCGGTTCGGTTCGGTTTTTATATAAAAAAAAAGAAAACAAACCAAAAAAAAAAAATTTAAAAAAAAACCCGAAACCGGGTCAAACCGACTAGTTTCGGTTCGGTTTGGTTTGGTTTTTTAGGGGATAAAACGGTTCAAATTGGTTTGGCTCGGTTTTTCTGGTTTTGGCTCGGTTTTTTTTTCGATTTCAGTTCGGTTCGGTTCGGTTTTTTGGTTATAAAACCGAAACCGAACCGAACTGGATGGTTTTTTCAAAATTTTAATCAGTTTTTTTTTTCAGTTCGGTTTTTTTTATTATTTTTTTTCCGGTTTTCTCGATTTAATCGGGTTTTCGGGTTTTTTGCTCACCCCTAATTATATCTAACCGAGCTCTAGCTAGCAGCATATCACTAAATTAACTAGGTTCATCGGCAACTAGTAATTAATTAAAACAAGCAGAAAGCTCCGGTTCAACCTAATATATAATAAAAGGATTAATCAAACCGAATGAAATAAAAAGAAAAGAGGTATGATTTTATCACATTTGATTTATAATACATACTTGTCATAGTTTTGGCTTCATCTTAGCCCGTGGTGCGTGAACAATATTAATATTTCATGTTTTAGCTAACTATAAAGCTTAGCTTACAAAATAATTTAATTCCCACGTGGGACACATTGTTAATTGGATAACAGCCACGGTTTAGGGTTGGTTAACCTGTTTTTTATTAAAATTATATTTTTTTCAAATTAGTTTTTTTGTGTTTTTAAATTGTTTTTATGTGTTGATACTAAAAAAAAATAAAAAACATTTCAATATATTTATAAATAAAAAGCATTTTAAAATATAATATTTACCACACTCTCAACCAATCTCTTAATATCTTATCAACATACTAGGAATCTAAATTAAATAATTAATAGCAAGTTTAGAAATATAGTTGTAATTATTTTTTAAAGTAATTTTCACTTTGAAATATATTAAAATAATTTTTTTTATTTTTTAAAAATTATTTTTTATATTAATACATCAAAATAATATAAAAAAATAAAAAAATTAATTTAAAACTTTAAAAAATAAAATAAAAAATTAATTTTCTTCAATAATATTTAACAGTAGTTTAGAACAATTAAGTTCAACTAATTGTCTAGCTTACTAGGCTCCGCTGCATAATTTGTCAACTCAAATTCTACTTAATTAACACTAGCTGGAACATAGATCGATGGACGCCCCCTGGTTTGACCCAATCATATCCAATTAATTAAAATATATCTAGTTAAATTAATCTTTAGCAGCTGTGAAATATTGATTTCTTGTTGATGAGATGTGTGCAGGGCACGTGGCATCCGTCATCACTCTACCTCTCATTATCGTCACCCGCCATGATCACCATCGCCTAACAGCATGAAAATTAGGAAGATAATTGTAGTCATTATGAGCAACTAATTAATTATTATATACATCATAGGAGGAAGTTGTTGCGGTCTTTAACAACTTAATTATTATATATCAGCAGTTGTTGATGATAATGACTATGGGCATTATTTATAATAATAAGGTTATTTTTATAACGTGAGAACAAGTTAATTAGCCATGTTGCGTTGTTAATTTATAATTTCAAAGGCAAGTTGCTTAGTTAATTCTGTGATCCAACTAAATTAACTAAGGGATTAAGCTACAGGGTGTCAAAGGAGATTCTCAGGAGAGCTTATGATTTAATATTAATTTTAGGTAATCATGTTTACTGAAATCAACATCTTAATCGCGTAATTCAATGTCAATTTAGGTCCATTTGGGATGAGGGTGATGAGCAATATGTAGAGAAAATAGGAGAATTACCTTAATTTTGTAATTTATTAGAGAATAATAATAATAATAATAATAATTAGAATCTATAGTCTTCCTTCTCCGTATATAAATAAATTAATCCATACACGGTATGCATTTGTTTTTATTTGTTTTTTAAAATTAAAAAAAAAACTAGAAAATGCCAAGATTAGGACAAACCACAACCTATATTTTAATTAAGAGCAATTGGGATTTAATTAGAGATAAATAAGTCTTGCAAAAAGTTGACATTTAGATTCCATAAGATTCACAGGAGAGAATCAAGTCGAAATTCATCAATTGGGTTGATAAATTCCACTGAGAATAATATTAAAAAATAAACCTTGTTTGTCCATTTGACTTTAAAAAATAAAGAAAAATAAAATGGAAAAAACATATAAAATCATGCTTTAATTTTAATATGCTAACTACCAAGAAAGCGTTCCTTGTCCGAGATGATTCCTATCCTCAAACAAATCAAACACACACAAAAAAAAAAAACATATTTAAAGTGCTGTTAGAAAAATAAATTAAAAATTGTGAAATTACCACATCATTTCATTTAAAATTTTACATTTGCATATGGCTAAAACAAATTTACCTTGGACCCGTTACCCACAAGAACTAGCAAAAACCCAGTGGGCCGAATAAATAGCTTTTCATGGTCTGGGCCCAATTCAGTTATAAGCAGAAAGAGAGCTACTGGAGATCCTTTTGAGCAGCGAAGAAGAAGAAGAAGAGAAGAAATGTTAGCAATACAGAAAGCAATCAGGAGAGTCCATACAAGCCTGGATGTTCCACGCCTTACGAGATTCACTCTCCAAGCACCCAAAAATGTAAGAAAAAAACATTCCTTTTCTTTTCCCTTTGCAACTTTTTTATGTGATTTGGTAAATTCATCTGTTATTTTCTCGAGGTTGATATAAGATTGAGTAGTTTATAGAAACTGGGTTCATTATGTTTTTTTAGTATCTTTTAAGTGTTTGGTAAATTTGTGATGGGTTTGTTTAATACCGTGGGAAGAGAGAAATTTTGAATGCTGCAAGCAAGAAAAAACCTAACAAGATGTGTTTTATGGAGTCAATATGGTGTTTGTATGATAGTTTAAGCTGATGAGCTTGCTTATGAAAATCTAGGGAAAAGTATGGAAAAAGGGTATTCGAATCGACCATTCGATGTTAAGAAAGGGAGCTTTATGAGGGCATCTTGTGGTCAATCGGTTTTTCTAATTGACGAGGAATAATTAACTTAATATGCACTGAACTGACATTATTATTAACTTAATTACATGTTTGCTGATGTTTGAAGAACAACTTCAACACCATTGTCTGATTTGGTTGCCGTAGCCACAACATGGCTGAAACTAAAGTTTGATCCTTACCTAGGTGATTTGTTTTGTGAAGTCTTCTTTGTTCACGTTGGTCACCTGTGCATTTCAAGATTTTCTCTTGGTACTTATTCTGGATGGCAGACAATGTAGCATAGAGGGAATACACATTGCCTGACATGCTATGTATGTGGGTGATTTCTAAAAAGATCCTCAGGTAGTGCAAGTGTCTCTTGAAAACAGGGCACATTATTCGTTTCCTTTCTTTGTTAAATGTTTCATAATATCAAATATTGATATGAAGGAGGATATTTAAATTCAATACTAACTGAATATCCTTTAATATTTGTTGAAATGCTGGTAATGATATTCAGTATCATGTTTCTGTTATCTTTTTCAAGGTTTTTTGTGACCATATCATGTCTTATATTTTGTCTGCCATATAGCTCAGTTGTGCTTATGTTCTCTTTGAATCTCCAGGTAGAGGTGGAATATGCTAATGGTAGCAAGTTTAATCTGTCAGCTGAGTTCTTGAGAATACATAGTCCAGCTGTTGATGGAAAAGTTAGGTCAGTTGGGGGTGAGAAGGTAAAAAAATTTAATCTTTGCCTCATTATAAAATTGATGCTCCACCCAGGTTTACATGCATGCATACAAAAAAAGAAATCCTATCATGTATGTTCCACAATCAACATTATTGATCATTTTTTGTGAGTTGCTTTTTATGGTCATTTGAGTGGCTGGTGATTAGAACAATTTATTAAATGATACAGTAGAAGAGCTCGATTTCATTGAAGTTTTGTGCTTCAAAAGCTAAATGTTTGGGCAATATATGACCTCATTTATTCTGCTTTTTATCCCATTCCATTCCATCTTTTTGAATCCTGCTCGTGTTAAACTGGAGAAACAAAAATATGTTTTCTGCTTTGGCGTGGATAGTAAAGTTAAAATTTAGCAAGCTTCGATGGAGTTTTGGAATCTCAATTGTACACTAGACCATATGTTCCCGAATGAACAATTTGTCTTCCTACACTGTATACGTTTTCATCCATAAATGTTAAGTTGCCTGAATGCTTGATATTCATTAACCAGGTGATAGTTGGGCGACGCCATGTTGGCATCATGTCTGCTGAACCTGTAGGAAACTATGGGGTAAGGTATTCAAGGCTTAAGCTTTGTGTTCGTATCTTTATTTTGCTTTATGCTGACGCAAACTTCTCATACAAACGTGCTCATAATGTAAAATATGGTGATGGTGTGATTTGGGTGAATGATTCAGGATGATTTTCGATGATTTGCATAAAACTGGAATATACACATGGGATTATTTCTACCATCTTGGCAGCAATAAGTTTACGCTGATGAGAAATTACATCAAGACTCTAAGGAAGCATGGCCTCAGCCGGGATCCACCTAGAAGAAAATGATGGTGGCTTTAGTTGATCATCCTTGCTGGTTTCATAACTGGTGCTCCACTGTGAGAAATGAGCAGGAAGGGGACTCAAACTTGATCAAAGATTTCCTTTTTCTCACTGAAACTGTGAAGTTCAAATATGACAACAGATTTCACAGCAGCAGGTCAAACAATTGCAAATGTTGTTTACATGCTATCAATTTAGGTTTAGAAACATGAATGATTTTATTTTGTTTGTGTGACACCCACAAGATACTTTTGAGATATAACACAATTTCCCATTGAACATCCTCAGTCGTGTAGGTCAGAAGCCCTTTTCCACTCTGTCCCACGCTTTGCTTGACAGGTTCAATAGGACATCAATAATTTCTGTTTAGAATTTTGCAAAGACACATCGATACCATTAACTTTGGACTTTCCCTTTTTTTTTTTCGCTCTTTTTTTTTTCCCGCAAGATTCTTTTGAGCGCCATGCTCTGAATTTCTTGTATTATTTAATGAATCCTTCGTGTGTTGACTGCCTCCTGAAAAGCATTAAATAAATCATTTTTGGTTCATTTAACTATTTTAAATAAATCGGCTCACAAATTGTTAATGACAAACATTCTATGACTACAAAGTTTATATATATATATATATGAAAAATGAAACGTCGATCACATGAAGAACATAAAAGATTGAGAAATGAAGAGCATAAACCATAAAATTAAACTCTTACGTAGTTCTTGGGAAGGTTGAGAGAAAGTGCAAGTATATTACACACATACCATGTCTTGCAATATTTTGGGGGATCACACGCTTTTATTCGTTGGCTTCTTAGCTGTATTACTCGCAGACCATGTCTTACAAGGTTGTCATGGATATTTGTTGTTCTATTCACTAAACATCAGGCCTGAGCAAATATTACTGTGATTAATATCTATATACAGAATTACAGAATATGTATTTCTTAAAGTGCTAGGAGAAACATTACTAGCAAAATCACCTTATTTCCAAGTGCTAGAAGAAACATTACAGAATATTAAATGAATGAAAAAGCTTCCTACGACATTAGTTTCAAACAGATAACCTTTCCTACATATTATATAGCCTGCGCTGTGGATTTCAGTCCACATTAAGTTTTTCCAAGCAGAAAGAAAAGGAACAATCACCAAAAAAAAAAAAAAACCCAGCTTTTCAACTTTCGAGAAATTTAGTAGGTAGATCAGGAAGGAATGAAGAATTCAGCTATTAATCGTGATCTTCACGATAATAATTGACTCTTGTAGAATCTGTAGCCAGAAAATTGGAAAACCGGGCTTCATTTTGCAATTATTTATTAGAGAGTAATATAAAATTATACATTGGATATCTTGGGATCTCACTTATTATATTAAATTATTGGGTTGATCATGTACAAAGACAGAGACATAGACACAGAAACAAAAGCTGTTGTCAATCTTTCATGCATTGTTACTCGTAGTTGTACATATATATAGCAAATTGCATTATGGTCTTGGTCTAGAATCAAGCCAAATGACACGTAATTACATATTCAAATCTCTTAAACTTAGGAAGAACGTATTAAATCTATTGTTTCCGCATTTGCTAATTATGCCAAGCAATCTACCAACATCTGCTAATTATCCAAGTGATCTGCAACTGCCAACCTTAAGCTAGATCAAGAACCGGATCAAGAAGATTGAGTGATCCAAGCTTGGAAAGTAACTGATGGAATCTTGTTGAAGCCAGAGACTTGGTAAATATATTTGCAAATTAATCCTGACTCCGAGTGTTATGAGTTTCTATTATCTAATATTGAACTTGTTCTCAAACATAATGGCAATCAACTTTAATATGCTTATTTCTGTCATAAAATATTAGATTGGACACAATGTGCATGACAATTTAATTACCACAGTAAAGAGACATAGGCTGAGGAGGTAAAAAACACAAATCCTCAAGTAATGCTGGAGAGCAATTACCAATTGTTTTTAACTTTTTCATGAAACCAAATTTCCCCCAACAAATATATAATATCCAGTGGTTGATTTGCAATCAAGAGTGTTTCTTGTCCAGTCTGCATCAATATATCCAAGTACCTGGGTGTGACCATTATTTTTCATAAGTAAACCACATCCAATAGACAATTTAAGGTATCAAGGAATCCTTTTAACAATCAACATATGATTTATAGTATGTGAATGCATGAATTAGCTCATAAGGATGACTGCATGGCTTATATCGGGTCGCATAATTATAAAATAAATAAGCTTTCCTACCATCATTTGATAAAGTTGTGGTTGTTTAGGGAGTTCATCATCCATTGTCATCTGCAATTTATTGTCCAAATGAATCCTGACAAGCTTGCAATCAAGCATATCTACTTCTTGTAGCAGATCAAAGATGTATTTCAGTTGGTTTAAAAACAGCCCCTTGGGTGAAGTAACCGTTTATATAGCAAGGACGTATTTGAGGGCACCATGTTCTTTAATAGCAAATTTTTGATGAAGAGGGAACCCATTTTCTTCAAGTACTACACTCAACTTAGCATACCAAGCACAGAGAGATTATTTCAATCCATAAATGGATTTGTATAATTTGCAAACCAAATTTGGATCACAATCGTTGGGATGTCCAGGTGGTATCTTTATATATATTTCCTTTCTGAGATCACCACATAAGGAGGCGTACTTTACATCCATTTAAGACAATGTCCAACCATGATTTACAACAATTGAAAGCAGAATTCTGATAGTATTCATTTTCACAACAAGTGCAAAAGTCTTCTTATAGTATACACCATATGTTTAAGTGAACCCTTGTGTAACCAGTTGTGCTTTATGTCTCTCAATGATGTCATCTGACCTGAATTCAGTCCTGTATATCCATCAGCAACCCACAACCTTTTTTTCCTTTTGGAAGTGGTACAACAATCCAAGTGTTACTTTCATTTAAGGCTTGAAGTTCCTACTACATTACCTTCTGCCATTCCTCTTGTAGATTTGCTTCACGAAAATTTTGAGGATCTAACCTCTTAGGGATAGTGTTGAGAAAAGAAATGTGTGGTGACAAAAGTCTATAATAAGTTAGAGCATTGTTTACTAGATGTCTTACAATATAGATCACAAAATCATGAAGCCTGGATGGTTGTTGTCGATTACGGGTTGAATGGCGTCTATGGAAGCTTCAAATTCACTAATAGAGGTAGCTGTCATAATTGTATCATCAGTTTCAGATGATATAGGATCAAAATCAGCAAAGTGTCCCATGTCTGTGGCGTTAGATGACAAGTCTGATGGATTTTTATCATCTAATGGAAGTGGCAATGGGAACAAATTGAATGTGGACCCCCCCTGTCTATTAATTATGCTAGAATGAGGGTAATATGCAGTGCTCTCATCAAAGTATATGTCTCTTGTTACCAGCAGCTTTTGTGAATTAGGGTAGTAGCATTTGCATCCCTTTTGTGTAGGTGAGTAACCCAAGAAAATACATTTGACAGCTCGATGGTCTAGCTTATCCCATTATGAAGGCTGAATGTGTACGTGGCTGAAAACCTAAAAACCCTGAGATGCATTAATTTTGGTGGTTTTCTTGTCAACAACTCACCAGGAGAATTAAAATCTGGAGTTTTACAAGAAGCCTGATTTATAAGGTAAGTAGTTGTGACTACTTTTTATGACCAAAATATTTTAAGAACATCCATTTAGAACATTAGTGATCTTGTATTTTATTTATGCTATTTTTATTGTGAAGTTCCCACACAACTAGTTTGATGAATAATACAATATATGCTTAAATATTATGTCATGATGTGTAATATATATTCGATGCAATTATCTAATCTTAAAATTTTTATTGTGGATATAAATTAAGTTTTGACTAAATTACAAAAATTTTAAAAAATAGTTGTGACTTTATTTTTTTGATTTTAAAAGATATAGCCAAGTAAATTATGAGTAATCGCCAATAAATATAACGAAATATTTGTAGTTATCAAAGAACATAAAATTAGCCCCAAACATCATAATGTACCATATCAAATGATTTATCAGAACAAGAAGTAAAATAAAAACAATGGTAGATAAATAGAATTTGATAGATGACACACATCATAAATTATTGAATTACCATTCAAACAAAGAAATAATTTAGACAAAATAGGTTTGAAGGATGAGCCAAACATTGATGTTATAGTTTTTGTTCAAAATTTAGATTAGCATTGACGTGAAGTCCCCTAAAAAGACAAAGGTTTGTTTAAGTCATCAATATAGTTATTTTCTTGATTGACAATAGCTTAAAAAGAAATGAAGAAACATATAAGACTAGAGATGCAATTGTTTAAGAAAGTAATTTCACTTTCCCTTATCCAAAAACAGGTGTTATGTCACTATTGACAACTGAAATATGAGATGATGAGGATAAAATTTTAAAGTCAAATACAAGATTTTGATCCTTGAATATGTGATCAGTGGCATCAGAATCTATGACTCGATAATTATTCACTTTATCTATTGTGAGAGTTTATGTGAAGGCATTCAAAATACCTTAAATTTCTTCAGTTAGAACACTTTTATTAGTAGTAAGAAATCCTGCAAACTTTCCAAGCAGTGCAAAGAAGTTTTCAATTTCTTTTTTAGTCTGTTTTGCTTGAAGATATGCTGCAAACTCATTGATGAGAGTTACAACACTAGACGTAAAAGTGGACAATCCATCTATTGTTGTATTGGTCATCACATTAGCCTTATATTCGGATGACTGATACCTCTTCTAGTATGCCTTGGAATCTCTTGCAAATTTTGGTTTCAGGTATAAATGTAAAGCCCAACAATGGTCAGTGAAGTGGCTGAAATTATTTCAGTAGTTGCACTTCAAGTTAGATTGTCTTCCCTTAGTTTGTTTGTCTTTAGAATATCTAGAGTTTGACAAATATCCTCTAGGTTCAGATATGTCAGGTTTGGTGTTTACATTCATAGCCCTTCTTCTAGTTTCCTCTCGTTAAATGGTTGCACACATACTTGCAAACGATGGAAGTTTTGGATTCGTAAGTATATATGACTTTGAAGATCTTCGTATAATAGAGATAGATTGGCCAAAAGATGGAAAATCTTGCCTTATTCAGCTTATTTCAATAATGTTGTATGATTAGCAGTGTGAGGTCTGGATACTGCTAGTTTATTCCACAAGCTTTTCATGCTTCCAAGATATTGAACAAAAGATTTAGCTTCTTGTGGCAAACATGAAATATCTTTCTTAAATGAAATACATGTGCAACATTGTTCTGATTCCTATACATCTCCTTTACTGCCTTTTATAGATTTACAACAGATTCTGAGTAGCTGAAGATTTCTGCAATATATGGTTCCATGATGTTGAGCAGTCATGATTGAATCATTTGATCATTTGAAAACAAAGATTTATATTGGGTTGAGTTAGCATCAAGAGCAGGATTGCTTTTGTCACTAAAGTCAGTTTTAGATCTTCTTCCAACTGTTAATAACACAGCTAAACCAAGGAAGATAATTGAAATCATTCAATAGGGACTAATCACAGATGTTGGTTTGTATTACTATCAAAAGTGGTTGATGAAGAAGGAACAATCAAGGTTACCATTCCCTCGACATAAAGAAAGCTATTTAAGCAAACAAGAGGAGATTGCTATTTAAGCAAACAAGAGGAGATTGGTGGATCCTAACCTCCTCTAATATCATAGAGAAGAACTATCTCAACTCAATAGCTTTATACTCTAATATCATAGAGAAACCTACTCTAATATCATAAAGAAGAACTATCTCAACTCAATAGCTTTAATTATAAAATGAGATTCTAAAATTTAATTTTATGTTACTCTCTTAACATTTTTATATAAATTCCAAGGCAGCAAAAATAGAGGGCATGAGGTACAAAATATCTGTTTAATTTTTTCTACTATTAATTTTCACTTTTTGAATAGATTTCTCCCTTCATTAGTGACATCCAACGACCTCAATGCATCTCTTGCCGTTTAACACGCACATATCCTAAGAAATTCATTCACTACCATGAAGAGCATTAAACAAGGCATCTTTAGCTTTAGTATCAAGATTATGTCTTTTCTTCGTTGCATCATCTATTACAGTTGCTTCAATAAACCTATTTTTTACAATATCCCACATCTCTATATCTTGTGGTTGTGAAAATGTTTTCATTCTAGTTTCCTGACGTAGATAATTAGGAACACTAATAATTTGTGTGAATAATTCAACCCAAAACACAAATTCAATAAATCCAACAGCAAACATGTATAGATAGAGAAAAGAAACTCAAATGACCAATAATGATTTTTGCTTCTTAGGTACTTCCATTTATGGATGGTAATGAATGCTCTCGGATCAAGAGTTATTACTATATTTATACTATACTCATTACCTATAGAATAAAAGGTTTAGATATTCATACTCTAATGGTCCGTGTACCATTGCTTCAACACAACCAAATTTTCTTTCATAGAATGGCATCACACTTTCAATATTTATACTCCAGCAGTCATCCAAGAGAATACTAAACTTTCCTACTCCCAAGTTTCTACCCGGTTCAGAAATGGTTGCTCATTTTGTGAGTGTAAAGGCTGTTGCGGAGAAAAAGGTCAATCTTGATGGCTTGCTGAGTTTACCCAATATATTAGCACTCTCAGATGAAGAGAGAAGCCGGAGTTGACCTCCAGGTAAGAAACCCATGCACTTAAGAATCACTTCCCTTGATCTTAAGAAGACATGCAAAATGCCAGACCAGAATGACTAACCATGATTTTCTTAAAGGGTTGTGGATAGGTTTCCAACTACAAGGGCAATGCAACAGATGATGGACAGAAAGGAATACAAGATGAGGTTGATATTCCTGGTATGACAAAAAATGATGTTAAGGTGTGGGTCTAAGAAAACATGCTATTAATGAAGGCAGTGAATGTTCCTGAAGAAGGCACTAATGTCGACTAGTTCTAATGAAGATGCTGGTGATAAAGAGTGGAATCCCATGAGCTATGGTTGGTGCAGCTGTTAAATCACCTAATCAAATATGAGAATAGAGAAGGCAACAGAAATGAAAGATGCAGCCTTGCTTATCATCGTTTCTAAAGCAAGAACCACCAACAAGGTCATATGGATGTATTTTACCATTCCTAAAGCAGGAATCACCAACAAAGTCATGGATATAAATGCATAACAGAAGCAAACTAGTGGACATTGATGTGCTGTAAAATATCCTGTAAAAAGAACAATTTATAGAGCAGTTTTATTGAAGGAAAATGATGGCAAATGTACCATACTATTGTTGCACTATCTATTTCTTCTCTACACTAAAATTTAGAGTGGGTGCATCAATATCACTTTCAACCTGTAGTGCAGAACAACTATGTATAAACTAAAGCACTGTAACCATGATTACATTAAAAAAAAAAAAAGGCATGCCCCAGTTCTCATGACCTTTTCTTCTGTCCACTTTTTGAGATGTGCTTCAGCCCTTGGGAGCCCCTTTTTATTCCCCTACAGCATAAATAAGCACAGTAAAGCAATATATATGGTAGAAGAAATAAATGAGTGAAGATTAGAATATAGATTGCAAATACCTCTGGTACAAATACATGAAGATGTAGAAAAGTGCCAGAAGCATCAAAACCAGAACAGAAATTATAACATATAGTGTGCTTGTCTCTTTCTGCACATGCAAAACAACAGAGATATAATGTACAATGTAATCAACAAACCTTAATAAAAAGTGAACTTTAAGTTCGTAACGTACTCAATAATGCAACAATCGTAATGTGACATGGCAATAAATACAGGTGGGTGTCACTATAAAATCTTCTATTTCAAGATAAACCAATAAACTGGCTCCGGTTGCATTGAATGAAAGTGACTTGAATCATTTGAACAGAGGTTTCTATTACTAGATTTTTAACCTAAGAGGAAACGGTGAAAAAAGGAAAAGATAAAATGCAAGCTAAAAAGGGCCCAGGAATGCAGAAAAAATTGATTTCCATTTCCTCAACTTGTCTGCTTTTTTGTAGGTTCAAGTTTCAATTATAGGATCTCAACCCCACCTCTCAATTGCTTTGCATCGCTTGAATCAACAAGACTAGGCTTTTACGCTACCTCAGATAGACTCAGCAAAGTACAACAGCTAAAGGCAAGCACAGAAAGGGCATGAAATTTACCTTCCCCCCTTTAGAAAATGGCTTCCGACCTCCAGAGCAAGTGTGGGCATCGCAAAATTGGCGCAAGAAGAACTCTGCCAATTGAAAAAATGTCAGCTAGAAATATCATAACGCCACCAAGCTACTGAACATGTGGTAACGTCACAATTACACAGAAAGTGAAATATTACCATTGAGACGGAGAGCTGAAGGACCCTCATTGACTGGGAAACAACTATCAGCGAGACTCTGGACACAATTATCATATTGGTGAGATAAAGACCAATTAAATAGATAAAACACAAGTATAGTTGAGAGGCCACCTCACACAGATGTTTATTCCGTCCTGTGGCAGCAGGATTGCACTTGGTCTTGTGTGGCGCAGAATCCAGCACAAGATCACAATGCAATGCACCACATACATCTGCCAAGCACTTGCTATGACTCTGGGTTCAGCACAAGTGTTCAGTGTTTCAATTCCTTAAATATATTGTGACACGGTGGCTGGCAATATCCAATAGATGCATATTTCTCCATGTAATAAGAAGAATAGCGATGTAAAACTAAAGCCATAAAACTTAAAGAAACAATACAAACTTGGGCAAAAGCACTGAAAAAATAAGCTTATATAGAAACAATGACAAAGGAGTTTAAGCAAGCCAAGAGATCAGAACAATTGTGATTCATGGCTTTCCATAAGTTAAGTGGAAAAACATCAAATTATTGACAACAGATTTAGCAGGGTGTCATACTCAGAATAAGCTAGCTCAATCTAGATTTAGAATATATTTTATACAAGTTCCTTCTTCATACTAAGGGTGTGAAGGATTGAACTTCCCACAATTTTCATGAGCCTAAATTTACTGGGCGAATTCATAGTCAAACATGTGATACTCCTCAACTTTAGGTGTGACAATGTATTAGGCTATGAGCTTTTCGACATGTAATCCAGAGAATTGTCCAACAAAAAAAGCAAAAACACATACCCAGTCAACTGGCATTTTTCCTAAGACACTTTCCACATACAATCCTCATCAGAGAAACATTCCAAGATGAGTTAGCAATGTTGAGCATGTCGTTACTAAAAACTTTATTTTCCTTAACTAAAAAACACATTTAGGACATCTTAACTATGCAGCTCCATTTAACATGACATCTAATAGGAAACCAAGCTTAATTTGGATAGACCACCAAAATTCTGTTTTCAAAAAAATTACAAACATGTTATGAGATCCAAATCAATAAAGATAAAATTATCCATTAACACCTACCACATTCAACAGATCGTAATGTCTGTTATCAAAATGCTTATCAAGGTACTTCTCTTCATAAAATGTCTTCTTACAGTATCCACATCGCCATTCATTTATATCTACATGCATCTTATGCTGTTCTTGATCTCTGTATAAGTCATTCTCTGGATGAAGCCTGCACCTACTCGAGATCTTATATCGTTCTTTCTCCACAAAGGGCATCAAATACTGCATCAAACATCAAATACTAATGGACTAAACTCACTCCTCTATCAAAGCACTAAATGAAGCAATTCAAATTAAAATGGTAATTCTCCAATACCTCGTCGATTATTTTCCATGCTGCCCTGCTCCTTTCTCTCGAACAATGCACTTCTTTCTCATGCTCAAAACTTCTGATTATCAACTTCACAAATGTTAGCTATAACTAAATGGAATTGTTTAATAAAAAAAAAAGATCAGCAATTCTACAACAGATACTGAAACAAAAAGGAAGCCAAGTATAGAGGTGGAAAATTCAAGGCACTATATTTTGATCTTAAAATCTCAAATCTTGCAAAATTAAAGAAACCCAATTCAAGAATTCAGCAAATGAAGTGAATGTGAAGCAAAAAAGCTGCTAGTTTTTGGACATCTAACAATCTAAGTGAAATAGTGATATATTTATTACCTTGAAGATGCAGTTTCCTTTTGACCCTGAAGAAACGAAAACATAGGAATCAATAACTGATTTACTTGAAGAAAATAAAAAGAAGGGTCTTTATTTGATGGAAAGTGAAGGAGTGAAGTGATATTGTTATGCACCTGAGGGAAAGTAGAAGAAGAAACAGAGGTCAGTTGCAGAAAAACTGTAAAGCAGAGACAGAGAAGAACTATAGTAAGCTGTTTTCTTGTCAATCCCATTTCTTCTCAATGTTGATTGATTGATATATTGACAGTGCTATGAAGGTTTGAGCTGCTTAAATTCATTACAAACAAAAGGTTGGCGCCTGATCCCGAAGGAGAAGAAGGTAAGGAAGCCCAGAAATGCTTGTGATTGATTAAACATGATATTCTCACGCTTAACCATAAATTTATTGAATGTCTTCATTTAACTTCTTACCTGTAATTAAAATTGAGTTTTAATTATATGAATTTTGAACATTATTCACTAGTAATATATGTAATGTCTTTTAATAATATTCAAAATAATTTTTTTATATTTTAAAATTATTTTAATTTGTTGATATCAAAAATAAATTTTAATTTTTTATATCAACATTAAATTGATCTTTACAAGATAAAAAAAAATGAATCTGTTTAAAAATATTTATTATATGATTTAATTAAATTAATTTATATAAATGACATAGATCGGCATGCATATTAATAATATATATCTTGATATATTCTTATCTAGGTGCTAGGAGATATAGTTTTTTTAGATTTTTAGATAAGTAAAAAATAAAAATAAAATATATTATTTCAATGTATTTATAAATAAATAAATAATTAAAAAGCAATTATGTGTTTAGTTATTATTTAAAAAGTTAATCATCTACATCAGTAATGTAAGATGATTTTAAGACAAATGTGAACAATAAAAAACATTCTAAAATTCCACAATTTGGCTATGTAAGAACTGATTATATCTAATGATAATTAGTCATTATAAATTAAACATTCTAAAATTACACAATTTAGTTTGGCTATGTAAGAACTGATTACATCTAATGATAATTAGTCATTATAAATTAAAGAGAACAGGTAATTCTAATGAAAGATAAATATTAATTTTTTCTATTTATTCATCTAGAAATAACTATAAAATTTTTATTTAAAATGAAAAAAATATAGATAAACAAGGAGAATAAAAGGGGGTGTTTGGTCTCGATTTTGAACTGGAGTTTTTTTAAGTTTTAAATTTTTTTATTTTAAATTAATTTTTTATTTGATATTTTTAAATTATTTTAATATACTAATATAAAAATAAATTTTAAAAAATAAAAATATATATTATTTTTAAATAAAATATATTTTTAAAAAATAATTATTATTATTATCTCACATACCCCTTAATAGTCAACACGCAACCACAAGATTTAGATACATGGACACTGAATAAAAAAAATCTAAAACGATAAGTAAAAAATAAATAAAAATGTGTTGTCGGTTTTTGGATTGCTTCATAATAGACTAGGTTTTGGGGTGTTTTTAGAGAGTATAGGAAGATGGTAACAACTTAATTAAACGTATTTTGTTATTTTAAAGTAAAACAATTTCAAAATCTATAAGTGAATAACTTAAATTTCATTGTTAGCATCTTAAAGCTTGTGTTTGATGTTAAAAAATTGCTGCATGTGAATTTTTAAAAAATAAATAGTTAGATGGAAAATAATGTATAATTTAAGAATGTATACAAAATAGAAAATTAATTTTACAAAAAAATGTAAAGTTTACTTATGTAAGAAAATTAATTTTCATATTCTCAATAAATATGCTAAAATTTAAGTTTTTAATATTAATTCTTTGAAATTTTAAATTTCATTTTTATTTATTATAATTAGGTTTAAAAGCATTTTTATACATGATGCTCTAAATTTAGTTATAACTAGTTAGGTGGCCTATATTATATCACGAGCTATCTTATATTTTTTTTAAAAGTTGGATCCTGACAATAGCAGAATCCAAAGCTATTTGAGTCCTCTAAATGCAGGACTCAAATCTATTTTGGGCCTTGTATAGCTAATAATTTAAAGCTATTTTAGGTTCTACAACATGCGGGGTTTAAGAGAGAGTTGACTTTTGACGTGTTTAAGCATCACGTATGTACTAGGGTATGCCTAACCCCTAGATAGACAGCATAAACACCACATATACACAAGGGTGTGCCTAGCTTAGAGGTATGAATCCAAGTGTCATGTGTGTGCTGGGATGCACCCAGTACAGAGGCATAACAAAAGTGTTACATATGAGCAGAGGTGTGCCCAGCCCCTAGGCAGGAGCCCAAATACCACGTGTCTCCATGTCATTTTTCTTTGATAATAATAATAATAATTTTTAAAAATTTATTAATGATGATGATGATGATAATACTAATAGTAATTTTTAATTTTTTCTTTCAAATCAAATTTTTGGTTGTTTTTCAATATTAACGATAATTTTTTTTCTAATTTAGTAATTATTTTATTAATAATATTGATTATTATAAAAATAAAAATATTTATAACACAAAAAACTAATATTTTTAATATTAATACTTTGATTATAGTAAAAATAATAATATTCATAACACAAATAATATTATTTTTAATTCCAAGAATATTTAGAACACAAATAATAATATTTTTTATATTAAAAATTTAAATTATTATAAAAATAATAATATTAGAACGAAAATAATAATATCTTTTAGATGAATACTTTATATTTTAAGAAAAATAATAATATTGACAACGCAAATTATAATATTTTTTATATTAATATTTAGAATTGTTGAATATTTTTAAAAATAATATGCATTGGGCTCACTCTTTATTTTTATAAATAATGCCATAAAAATCTAGAATAAAAATAAAAATATTTTCTTTTAAATTTATTAATTATTTTATTAATAATATTAATTATAATAAAAATATAACATTTTAAAAAAATAATAATATTTAGAATTCTACAACCCATGAACATTGAGTATTGATGAAGAACCCAATAGAATTGGATCGTTACGCTAGAGCCATTGATCAAGGGTTTTAACGCCCAACCTATTTTTCTTAAGTCCGAGCCATGACCCAAATGTCACTCGTCCCCAATCCACCACAATTCAAGCACCATGTGTGCACAAGGGTGTGTCCAACGCTCCTTTAAGTTGATGCTTGGGTTCTGTAGGCTGCAGTTTTTTTATATGCCCCCATTAACAGTAGTCACAATGAAAACACTTATAATTTACCCCCATTAACAGTAGTCACAATGAAAACATTTATAATTTATAATATTCATTCTATAGTATAGAATAGTGCAATTCATAGTAAATAAATAATATTTCACATTATAATAAAATACTAATAAATTTTAGTTATAATTAATTAAAAATATATAAAATAAGGCTAGTTTGATCGATCCATGATATTGTGCAATGGGATTAAACATTGTAAAAGGGAAATGAAAATTTCATATTACTACATAGGAGAGAGAAAAAAAAAGATACAAGGAGAAAGAGAGTTAAGGAATTAGATAAAAATATTCAAATTAGTAGACTTATTGTAATTTTCTTTTTCATATTTTTATTTATCTCACTACTTCTGTGTCCATGAGGTAATAATTATATCACTCATGTATAATTTTTAAATTGATATCTATATGAGAGGAAGAAGTACAACTTCTAGCATATTTAATAATTATTTCCAAGGAACAATAAAAAAGTTCTTAAAATGTTTAAAATCTAAATTCGAGCTTTTTCCCAAACTAAAGAATTTACAAACTTTTTTAAAATGAGGCAGGTACTTTCAACTTTATTTCTAAGACCATCAAAACTTTTTGCCATCTTAATTTTTTTTAATCCAATAAAAAAAAAGTTCGTAGGACTCCCTATATACCATGGATAGGATAAAAAGATTTTTGAACATGACAAAAAAAATATTTAGATTGGAAATAATTATTTAATATTTTTATTAAATTTGGCTTTAACTTTAAGATCTTTCGACCCGATTGCTTAGCTAATTTGAATTTAAAATTAAATTATATATGAGTTGTTTTATCATGATCCAGCTAACTTGTTGGTCTAAAAACAACCCAACTAAAAGATTAAAAAAAAAAGTCTAAAAATGAAATTTATAGCGAAAAAAACTTATTTTCCAACTTCTTACTTAACTTAGATTTAAAATTAAATTGAATAAGAGTTATTCTAACAAGAGAAACTGGAAAAACTAAGAAATAGATGTAGACTAAGATATTTAATATCACAATACATGTCATTTATCCTAGTGAGTAATGAATTTATTTATGAAAATTAACATGTAACAAAAATCAACACACACATAAAATTTATAAAATTTATTGAAAGAAATTAAAGGAAAAAATAAATTTTATGCAATGTTGCACATATTAAAAATATTGTAAAAAATAAATATTTTTTATTTTTAAAAATAAGTTCAATCTATATAAAATATAAAAAAAATTATAAATGAATCACATTAACTTCATAAAAAAATCTATAACACAAACCATTATAATTAAAAGAATAAGAATGATAATCAAAATAAAAAATAAATCAAAGATCATAAAAAAACTAACATTAGATCGATACATTCAAAAGAAAAACTATAACAAAATGAAAAAGAAATCAAGAGAATAAAAATTAAATTGAAAAAAATTTAAATAACATAAACTTTGATTGAAGAATGAAATTGAAAAAAACAAAACTTTAATAAAGGAGTCAAGGAAAGAAATTAGAAATAAAAAAAAAGACCAAATCACAAACAATAACACAAGATAAATTGTAAGTAAAAGACAAAATTGAAAACATAAAAAACTTTCTTAAAAGAGCCAGGGACTAAAATAAACAATCAAAACTCTAAGGACTTAAATTAAGGAATGAACAGAAAAGAGGATTGGGCCATACTTTTGTTGGGAGAGAGAGAAAGTTAGGAAGAAAAACATAGAAAAGACCATTGACGACAAATCGACCACCAAGCACCACCACGCATGGCACTGAGAGAAAGAGAGCAAGGTGTTGCTTCTGATGACACGGCAGAATAAGATATTTGACACGTGCCACCCAAACAATGCGGATTTACCCCACTTGCCTACATTTGAACTCTATATACTATTTGCTTTTGATTAAAAATCATTTAATTAGAGTAAGATGTCTAAAACACCCCTCGTTATTCCCAATGTTTAACCAAAAATGAATTCACCCATTAATTATTTCCTTTCTTTTATCCTATTATAAAGGTAGAAAAATCATTTAATAATCTTAAAAAAATACAAAGATATAAACACCATTTGTTAGTTGTTCATACTATTTTTTTATTTGTAAAATGATAGTAATCCCTAGCAATCCTTTTATGATTAATTGATATCTTGAAAATGAC